ACCTATATTCAACGAAGTAGAGTTGAGACTAGTAAAGTAATCAAATAATCAGCTTTTGTGATCAATGTGAAGAAGACTTTAAATATGATCACAAATTTCAGTATAAGTTAATATATAGGTGACATAAGCACTGGCTATCAATATGCGAGTTAATTCTGTTGCTAAAGTTGTCTCAAAGGCGTTGGGTGTGAGAACAACCATGCGAACATAACAATATATTGTTTACTGTGTTGTTACACTATCCTTTAGTGTCACTCTGTCTCTTGCCACACATATGTTCTATCAATAATTTATTGAAAAGCATTGATCATATGAATTACCAGTATTGTTACTTCCTTCAAAAACAAAACAATTACACCTAGATACAAAGCAAAGTTACATATTTCTGCGAGAATAAAAAGAGGGCTGTGGATAGTCTTGCCTTCCAAAACCTAAAGATTACCTGAAAAAGAAAATAATATGCTATACAATGAACATGGGCATATTATTATTAATCTCTTCAGATAGGTTCTTGTTGACAGACTGCTGATGGTTAAACTGGAACAATTGTTTACATCTGACCAAATTCAGGCTCCATGCCACTTGGATATCTTTTGAAGGGTTCCATGTTTGTGATTTTTGCTTTACATTTCTATAATTGGGGTTATGGCACTGACTAACATGATGATGTTCTTGAGAAAAGAAAATGTGATTGAACGACAATTTGATGGAAATAAGCCATAACCTGTATAAATTACTTTGGCATGTTGTGCAGATCCGAACAATTTTCATGTTGCTTGTCAGTTTGATAACCCTTTTGTATTGAGCCGGAATGAGATACCACAGAAAGAGAATGTTTTAACAAGAGGTTGCAGCAGAGTGGGGATCTGTTGAAGTCTTCATTCAAAGTTTGTATGGAGACTTTCTGAGTTTGTGACGTTTGGAATAAAAAATAATGAGTTCATTTAGAGCAGGATTGTCATTGGCATTAGGACCAAGTATTGTTCAAGAGACTGCAGTTGTTACCTGATGGTGACTTGAAACAGCTACATAACTTGCGGTGGTCAGAGATGATAAAGTTAGCTTTCCAATCTTGGGGAATACCTAAACTGGATGAAGTTAGAGCAACAGTGTCCATCACATGTGATGAGAATGAAAAGCAAAGCAAAATTTCGATCCACTGATTGGTGGCAACCCAGCACTAGCGGTAAAATTAGATTCAGGTGCCAACACAGCGATTATGCCAGAGAAAGGTATTTGACCAACTGGATAAGCAACCACAGTTAGAGACCACCTTAATGGATTCTGAAGGTCACAGGTTATGACATAAGTCAACAAAGGAGAGTTCACAGCAGAACAACTTGGCATGTAACTTCACCACCATTATAACATTTGTGTTGTGAGAAATTTCCAGCACAAAATGTCCTTGAATTAGAGTGTTCAGATTAAGGTCTAATCAAGTGACCAGAAGTGAACTCACACAATACGGAAAAAGAAACACCATGGCTGTGTTTGGCAACATTGGTTTGTTCTGATTGTGAGCCTGTGGAAATCAAGCTCAAACCAGGTGCTATACCCACATATGTGGTATAAGTACAAGAAGGAGAGAACTGGCTATGGGGCTTCTACCCAAAGGAAGTAGAGAGAGAGAGTAGAAGGCAGAGGTAATGCGATGCAGGAGTTGATCTATGACATGATGAGCCAAAAGGTGACACAGCCTACAGAGTTTGTGTGCAACCATGGTCTCCAGTGGTCAAGAAAAGAATGGCAAAATATGGATGTAAAATGGATTTTTGAAGAAACTAAATCTTGCAGTCCAGTGGGAAAGCTTTGTTCTGCCATCATTTGATGACATCATTCCTCAATTAGGAGGAGCTAAGATTCTTTCTCAAACTTAATGCCTTGAGTGGATTGCATCAGATTCCACCCATACAGTAAAAGCCTGCTCACAATGTTCACTTAGCGGGGATCTGCTATGAACACATTCCTTTTTGCGGGATACCATTTTCAAGAGGAAGGTGATAGGGTCATGAGAGATCAAGTAGGGAGCAAAGCTGTTAGGATGACATTTTCTCTAAGGAGGGTCACTCAGTCAAAAAGGAGCACAATTATTTTTCATTGTTAGAAGCAAGAAATCTGGGCTCAAGTCGGAACAAGTCAGTAATCAGAAGAAACCTCTCAACTTTGTGGGAAACAAGATAAGTGCTAAAAGGGGGTAAAGACCAGATCTGGCTCAAGACGAGTGCAGATCTCAAGTCACCAAAATTGACATCAATCGTGTATCAGAGCCCACAGTCACTTGCAATTCTATGATGTCAAAGCCTACAGTGGTAAGTGCTGATGTAGCGGTTATGGACTTGGGGCTACCTGCTTGGTATTTACTTCGTATGCTAACTTCTGCTGAAAAGAAAAAGGGATGTACAGATTGAAAAAATTAGAAACAATTCTCAAGGTATATGGTTGAACTAGATTCTTTCTACACGATAATGGACCACAAGCCATTGGTGCCACTCATGAAACAAAAGCAGGATCAAAGAGCCCAATTCAGTCTATTACGATGAAGCAGTCATTGAGTTATAGGATGAAGTAAATACCGTCGAAATAATGCGTAAGAATGGGTCAGGTATCGAGAGAACCATATTAAAAGGAGATTCAACAAAGGTACAAAGGACCTACACTTTGGTAGTAGGTGACAATGGCGGTAAGATGGATGGCCATTAAGCTCCAATAGTGTACCACACCTCGAAAGGCTAGAGATTAGCACGCTTATCATGCCAAACTTTCTCTGTCTAGGAACATACTAACATTCTAGGACACACTGGTTCATTCCTGAAAATTCCTGAGAGTTGAGATATAAATACAAAATTCATGGGGACTTAACAAGTCAAGTGAATGAAATTGGCAGTATCTGTGTTTGTTGTTAACAGGAACATACAAGGAGAAAACAGAATCATGTTCTTTAATAATAATAATATAATAATAGGCCATTTATATAGCACCTTTCCACATCACGGGATATGCTCAAAGCTTCCCTGAGCTCAAGTTAAAACTATATACAGCTGGCAGTACAGATGATTGAAGTCACTTGTAGCGGAGAAATAAATGAGTCTTTAGTGGAATGTTTTGAATATGCGTGGGAAGGAGATGATTTTAACTGGATAGGGAGAAAGTTCCTGACTGCTGCATAATGAAAAGGTTCTTGAGGTAAATGATTTTAGATTGCAGCTCGGGACGTAAATTAACACTTGTTGTGATGGCGGGGAGTGCTTTTGGAGAGTATTTAATGTGTTAGAAGGTCTTGAAGGTCAGGAAGGTCCTGGGTTGTAGAAAAGACTGATAGGTGAGAGCTAGAATCTTAGAAATTAATCCTTTCCACGAATCACAGGAGCCAGTGTGAGAGTTTAGAATGGGAGATGTGACAGCGAGGACTGGTAGAGTGATGATGCATGCAGCTGTTCTGGATTTTCTGAAGGCAGTTGAGTTGGGGAGCGAAGATGCCAAAACGGTAAAGAAGCTGTTGCAATCCAGGCGGGATAAAATCAGTGTCCATACACAAGGGGTGGCAGTGGCTGCTGTTAGGACTTTTCGCGGATGCTGCCGATGTTCTTCAGATGGTAGTGGCAGGTCTTTACTAGATGATTTATTTGCTTGTCCATGCTGAGGTTTTGAGTCCAAGAGCATGGGTTTTCACAAGAGGAGAAAAGAGAATCCAAAGATTGCCCAGCGAATATCTTTGATGATAAAGATTTCGTTGTCTTGAGATTGTGGAGAAAATGACTATTTTTTTTCTGTTTTATAGTCATTAAGTTTCAGCTTGTTAGCAGACATCAGGATCTTGTGCTGGAGGCATGCTTCAAAGATTTGAGACTTGCATTCCATAGGATCCGTCAACTTAACGTTTTAGCACCCTGTTTTTCACAATTTGCATAAAAACTCCCTGAAAGATATTTTAAAACTCAGCTCTGTTCATCATCAGTAAATTGTATGCTGTGACCCTAACAAGATATTGATTTTAGTAATTCTAAAAGCGATTGACCAAGATTTTGCCTTTAAAACCCTGTCCTTATAATAATTGGGCAATACTGTGGAGAGTTTTCGAAGTTACTGCAGTGATGGAAAAGCCAACAACATTGTAAAATGTGTGTCGGCGTGATATGTACATGCACGGGTATTTGCTTGCTGAAGTACGGGCAATAAAGATGCGTCAACACACAGGTTGTGGTAAGCGATGTGCAAGATGCGGTAAATCATCAAAAGAGTTTACAACTTTTTTCAAGCGCCAGGCAAAGTGAAAAAAACCCTCTTTTTCAATTGAGGTGTTTCTCAAAAGACATAATGCCACCAAGATCTGCAAAGAACATAGCAAGAGTTATCTCCCATGACACTATTTCAGGGCAGCGATGACAATGGCAGTTGAAATCGGGGACCGATCTCTAAACATGCAAAGAAAGATCGCGGCAGTGAATTCAATAGAAAGGTTGTGAGGGTGATCGTATTATTAGGTTCATCGATCAGTGAGTCCATGTCAAGAAACGCAAACTGAAGAAAATATTGTTCCGAAGACCATGACATCAATGTATCAAAGGCTTATACCATATACAAGCTGTTGCACAAATTTGGATCTTGATACAAGGAAGTTGAACAACCGGCATTTAAAGACTTCAATGATCTACTTGCTTAAAAATGGTTGTGATGATTATACAGTCCTTTAGATTTGCTTGCAGGCATAACAAGCGTAAACAAGATGCGTGCAGTAACCATGTTGTTTGCTGTTCCATCACATTATCATTTACTCCCTTGTATAACTACTTTATTTTCCTTATCTTTATAAGATGGCTTCTTAGAAGAAGCAATGATTCTGATAAAATTATGGAAATTTAAACCTTTAGATGGAGTCATAAGATATAAAGAGCCAGGAGGTGGAAATAAGCAAAATTGCCGATGCCGAGTCCAGTGTTTTTGTCTGTCGGACAAAAGCATATTCTATTTAATATATCACACTGTACCACGGTGTCAGTTGACTTTCAATGTTAATTATGTTGTTTATTTTAAAAATCAACAAGAAAATCGACCGAAGTTTAATTGGAAGAATTATCAGGACAAGTGATTTTGTTGTGCCACTGTACCACGAGATAACTGAAATTTTTTTAGAGTTACATTTCCAGCCCTGAGAGGGTATTAACTTCCAAAAAACATTTTGAAGGCATTTTTGGTTAAAGGTATTATGAAAAACAGGGTGTCAAAAGTTCAGTTGACGGACTATGGCGCTGACTTTGTTCTGACGACTTAAAACTGTCAAACAATTGGCTTGTCGTCACATAGAAATGATGAGGCACATGATAAGCAGACATCAGTTTTCCGAGCGGTTGAGTATACAGGGAGAAAGAATTGGTCCAAGAACCGATCTGCTAGAGACTCACGGGTTAGGGGTGTGACTGGATGATGAAGATGTTCGATGTGAATGGACTGGGTTCTGTGTGTCTGAAAGGTAGGATCTTAGCCAGTCAAGAACTGTATTAGTCAAACTAAATTCTTTCAGCAAATGCTCAAGAAGAATTTTCGTAGTTGAGTATTATTCAAAAACGCCGGGCATGAAATCAGGAGGACAAACAAGAATTTACCATGGTGGAGCTACCAGATCTGACAGAGTTCAAGGGGCATGAATTTAGAGCGGTTTCTGTGCTGTGGAAGGAGCCTGCCTGTAAGGCAGATTGGTAACAATCAGTCCAAGTTATGCTGAAAGATGATCCGAGAGTTGTTCGGTACGACTACTTTCCAGAACTTTAGACATGAACATCAGAATTTGAAGAGACAGGGCGATAGTTTTAATTTTGAGTCAAAGCGTGGTTTCTTGATGAGTGGTTTGGCTTCGGCTTAAAGGAATGATGGTACTGGCTTAATGATAATTTAGGTTACGATAATCTTTGGTAATGATTGGCAAGAATGACATTCAGTATTTCAAAGGAATTTTTACGCCGGGATAGGATCAAGCTCACATGAAGTTGGTTTTGGCAACGTACTGTGACCTCAGATTCTGGTACTGGATGGAATGAACTGAGCTGGGTACCAATGGGCTCCCGGTATACAACGTCATCACAAGAAGAATCACCTCGTAGTTTGTGATCTTCTCATTGAAGAAGGTGTTGAAATCCTCTGCCAATGTCTTTTTCTCCCTCGCCATGAGGAAGTAAGACTTCCTTAGACTTTTCAAGGATCTTATTGTGGAAGGCATTTTGTTTGGCTGTATGAGTGCGGTATCTACTTCTTTCTTCATGGTTTCACTAATGACTTTTTACTGTCTGCAGACTTGTGTATCTCTTGTTTTAGTGGTGAATGGCTGCGGTTCCTATCTTCTGTATTGACCCTTTGTCATGACTTGGTCACCATTATTTGGGACCTACAAGTACTTGCTACACTTGAATTTTCTAAATTTTTTCTAAATCACTGTTCTAGCTTAGTAGCTATTGCCATTTCTCTTTTTAGGTACATCCTCTCTTCTTCCATTTTAAGTTTCATCTTGGAGATTTCTAAATCCTGCAATTTCAACCAAGCCTCTATTTTGGCTTGAGACTTCAAACTTTGCTCTCTAATGTAAGCTTGGCTGTCACTGAAGTAACCTGTGATAAACAAGTTTTTTATCTGACTTTGTCATAGGTTACACTATCATTAAGGTCAATTCTTCTTGTATTGTTGACCAGTTTTCTAGCTCCGTTCTCAATAAAACTGTCAGCAGGCTTTTAAAATCCAACTTATTTCTTTTGCTATCAGTTTTATCATTGCTCTCTTGTGCTCTTGTTCATTTGCACTAGCCTGAAATATTCCTCTTCATCACAAAATAATTCCTCAAGCTGAAGAAAGTTGCGTATTCAGTTCTGGCGACTTCATAATCTGCCATATACCCTCACGGTATAAGTTCATTCACACACTTCAAATTGTTCATAACTTTCATAAAGTCAGTTTCAAGTAATCATATTTCACCTTCTTTTGATATTCTAAACCTGTGTCAGTAAATTTTTTGCCAGCGTTTTGGTCTAGCTACTTTCAAAGATGAAAGCTCATGTTGAGTTATGGCTTGTTTCGCATTCAAAATTTGCTCCTCTTCTAGTATTCAATTCAAAGTCATAATCATATTAATGTCAATGAAATGTAGTTTCCCAAATCCTTTGCTCCTCTAATGGTGAGTCTATACTCAATTCAAATTCAATTCAACTTAAAAAGTCAAATGTCGTAAAAGCCTTCTTCAACAAAAATGCCAATACCTTCAATACAGTTGACTTGACTTTTTATTCTTCATCAGTGTGAATGATTGACATTAGCGCATAGCGATGATGCGAAAAGGTCCTCAAATCCTTAAACATATAGAGCCAACACTCCAAATCCAAGTCCACAGCTAACACCATTACGCAGGTCCTCCTGACCATGCTCACATCTGAAGATCCTGTCTCAACTCCTAGAATTACTTCCCTTGGCCCTGGCTGAAACCAACTGTCCCAAAATGGCAAAGATAATGAATTTGGTTTAAGCACAAAAATTAAAGTTTTGACACATAAAAATAGATTCCAACTCATAATTTTGGCCATAACGTACCAGCTAAATTGCATCATTACCCAAATGGAAGCAATTACACATGATAAAAACCAAAAATGGTCAAAATTTAAATGGAAACCTTTTGCATGAAATTCCCACAAAATTAAATAAATACTTCTGGGAGAGTTGAAGTTTGATATTAAAACCTTAAACCGTGAAGCTTCCGACAAGATTTGCTGAATAAGCGATAAAATGTGTAAAAGAAAACCTTTCTGTATATACAAAGCAATATATAAAATAAAATGAAAAGAAACTTCTTTCAGATTTTTAAGTTCGTGTCATTCCATCAAGGATATCTTAGGTCTTGAAATGGTGATATACAAGCATTAATAATTAAGGAGTTTCACCCACATTTACTGAAGACCAGGGAGAGATAACGTCTTCAGTCATTTTCTAGCTTAGCATGCACAGCTTATGCACTGGTCGAGAACGTATTAAGCCTGACCCGAGGTTTCCCGCTTCGAACAACACGAACAAGCCCTTTCCTATCAGACACTTTAACATCTAGGACCCGGACCTTAGCCAGGAGTTCCTTAGATGCAATTATCAACTATATTTCTTTGCATCTCCGACTTGTACATTTCTTTTCCAGAAAACACCACTTCTGTCTCTGATTTAACAGTACTATATACTCTTTCTGCCACCTTTTCCAAAATATGTCTGAAAGGTACTTGATTTACTTCCAGCGACGTTTCCCATAACTGTCATCTTTGATAAAGATACCAGATTGGAAAGCTTTCACCAGGTCTAAGCAGCAGGAGGTGATTTGGAGTTAAAGGGATGGGAGGTCACTGGGATCTGATGATGAATTCTGTAACTGGAAGATTGTTGAGAACTTTAGCCGATCTCACAAAACAAGGAGTTTGTAGCCCTTCATCATCCAAATGAAGATGGTTGCTCTTGCATGAGAGAATAAAGAATCTTTTCTTACTGATCTATTGAGCCTCTCCCAAATTCCGCCGAAATGCTTGAACCACTTCAGGTGGGTTGAGGAAGGCGCCATTCAATGTGCTTTTTGTTGGAGTTCTTTGGCGATTTTATTGTCAATTCCAATTCTGAATTTCCAGTTTTAATTCCTTCTGAAAGGAGCCTTCAAGTTGGTTCCATTGTCTAGTAAATGGCGGGTTTCACATGGCCTTGTCGCAGTAAAGTAGAATAGCATTGCTATACATGAATCACAATGAGGCTGTCGCCACTGCCAAGTGGACGAAGCCCTTATGGCTAAACAGGTGAAAACTACACTATAACGTTTGACCTGCGCAGGACTCTCCACGTTTCACTAATATTATTGATCGAAGAAATCCATTCCTAATGTTGGTAAATGGCGGTTCATCAGTTGACAATCTTACTTTCTGCGGCAAAGTCACCCATCTTCTGTCCCAAGAGTTTGAGGCCTGATATTTCCTGCATGTTACGTATTTAGACAGGACAGTTTTGATTACATTTCCTGCTCCTACACGGTCCCGAACTTTTAGCGAAGTTCAGACAGCGTTGTGTTTTTCCCTAAATCATCAACCCTCTTGTGAACATCTCTCACCCAGTGAGGAAGCTTCGAGTGATAGGAGAGTTCTTTGGCAGTATGATAGGATGTTTAGCATCATAAGAAAGAGAAGTTCTGCTTTGTCAAATTCACGACCTCCAACTTCGAAGTATGCCTCTTGAAAGAATGGGATCAAACTGCGCTGAGGGATGAATAGTGCTTAATTTGTCTGGAATTCCGTTTCTGCTGCCAGATCCACATATTTCAGCTGAATAATGTTTTTGACTGCACATAATTGTACAATGGACTCTTCTGCTTCATCTATCATCTTGTTTGACAGTTCTTTACATAGCTCTTGTTTTAATCTTCATTTTTTGTGACTGTTTCATCTTTCTTTTTTTTCTTGTTCTTTTCTTGGGAAATCTGTAGCTGTTTTTTTTTATCTTCACTTTCAAATTAGCATAAGTTCTTCTTTCACCCGCAAGAATCCATGCAACAGATCTCTTTAAGTTCATCCAGTCTGAAAAATGGAGGAATAGTTTGTCTATCACATCCTGCGTTTCGGTCATTGTGCTATTGACGCAGCACTGAACTTCTGGATCATCACTCCCAATTTTCAAGTCCTCTTGATCTTGGTTTCCAGTTTTTAGATTAGAGTCTGTAGAATTTCTGGTCCATTCCACCAAATACTTGAGTTTATCAATCTCTTCTTCATCTTGATACCTCTTGGCGCCATGTCTGCTGGGTTAGAGCTTTGAGTCTATGTAGTTCCACTGTTCAACATCTGTAGCTTCTCTGATCAGCCCCAACCTGTTTGCAACAAAAAGTGTGAAATCTGGTAGTTTCATTACTTATGTACCATTATAGCGGACATGCTGTCGGTCAAAGTAGACATGTTGCAGTGGATATTCAAGTTCTCTTGTCAGCGCTTTGTAAGTCCGTACAGATAGAACTGCAGCTGTGAGCTCGAGTCGTGGAATTGTGATCTTTTTCAGGGAACCACTCTTGACTTTCTCCAAGAACTAAGAGCAATGGATTTCATCTTGACTGTTTGTGATGCCGATATAGGCAGCGACACGTAGCCTGCATCACTGGTATCCAGAAAACGTGTAGATCTGAAAGCCAACTTCTCCAAAATCAGGTGGTTTGTAACATCTTGAGTTTTAAGTTCACTTACTAACTTTAGATCTTCAATCAAGCTTGCCTCCACCTTTTCATTTTGTCACCAATGTTAGTCGCGTCCCAGTTGATATTCAATCTGCATAGGTTTTTTTGCAGCAGTATTCTTGAAGTTAAATGAAATGGTGCTTTAACAATCCAAGAGGGGGTGAAGACAGAGCTTGCTACAGACAGAATACCTCTTTTGTTTCTGGCTTAGGGTTTGATATTCGCATCGGAATCTACGATTTCATCTTCTTAGAGCAGATTCAATGAACACCAAGTGCTGCCGTTCAGATGGAAGTTGAAGTCTTTGTCAAAGTTTAGGTCCATGGCACCTTTGCTTGCACGCTCTTTGATGGGTACTGAGGTTCGCTGACACTATGAAACATTTACTAATCCACTTGTTCAGAATGAAAGCCTCCATTAGAACATAGTCGAGTTACTTCTTGGATAAGTGCTTTTGCCTTCTCATCTGTTGGCGTTGACTTTAGAAATCGCGTCCACATGGAAAGTTTTCTGTATCAGGTCTGTGACTTCTTCTGGAAAGGAAGGTTCATTGTCAACAGCAGTTTGTCTGAGAGCTATGTTCGCGCACCAGGTCGGTGAGAAATGGCTCCAAACAAGAACGATCATCGCGATGGAGTCAAGGGATCTTTACGACAAGTCGCCACCAGGCCACCAGGAAATCTTGATCATCTTTAGGACCCTTCACCTGGTAATACATTGCCTCTATATCCCCATTATAAGCGCTCTTTCTTTTCACCAAACCTCAACAACGGTATACCAAGCAGACTGTTGGTTAGGTCGAGAAGGTCTTTGTAATAGCTGGTTGTTCAGAGAGATGCCCTGGTGTAATCTTGAAGGTTAATCAAAATACTACTTTCGGATCTTTTGCTTCTGGCGATGGTAGGCGAAAAGCCATGGTGTGGAATATTACCATTCTCGTCCAAACGTCACCTCTGTAAAACTCATTTAACTTCAGCACCTGTTCCACATAACCCTTGTTAGATAATTTTTTGGTCATGAAATTTGTGTGAATTCGGATGAAGTCTGCATCCTTCTTCATCTTTACTCTTTAGATTTCAAAGGCGTTGTAGTGCTTGACTTAAGTTGTTTGGTAACTTGGCGTTGTCACTTCTAAAAGGTAATCCAATGGAGTGTAATGTCAGCTTTGAAATCTAATGACTGTATCACCTTGTTGAGGAACATCAAATCTTCCACCAATAGAGATGTTTTCTCTTCTATCATCTATATCCAGTTCGAGGAAATCATAATTCATCAAGTCTTTCAACATCTTGTTTGATGCTTTTCATTTCTTCTTCTTCTGTTGTAGCTACTTCATTATTCTGTTGGCATATTGCATTTGTTGTGGAAATCAGTCAGTCTGAATCTCGAAGAAAGGTTCCCATACTACCCAGCAAGGATTGTCTTTTGTTGCGTGTGGTGCATTGATTGGTCCTGTTCTTGCTTCTTGAAGATTGTTGTAGGCGCTTGAGTACGTTGTTGCCCGATCAATAATTCTATTTCCATTTTTTACTTCTTGCTTAAGTTGATGTCAGATAGGTGTGGCCATTTTGAAACATCATCTTGTTGTGGAATGTGGTTTCTTGATACAGGTAACTTTTTCTTGGAATAAACCTTAGGTAACTCAATTGTAGATTTCATTACCAGGTCACAGACTGTAAGACCGCTGATTTCATAAATAATTCGACATAATGTGGGGCTTACCCATAGTTTCGAGAGATATCATCTTCTTTCTTCCTTCACAACCTAGCCTTTTTCATCAGTGCCTCTGTGCAAAGCATGCGCCTACTCAGGATCGAGGAATGCATAAGTCTCAATGTACTTAGGCTTCAAACTGTCCTTGTATCTCACCTTGACTGGGATAATAGCCATGAGTGCTGTACTTTACCAGCCCACTGTGTCTAAATCTTCCTGTGTGTGAAGATGTCGGTATGGACTCAATGGACTTTGTTGTCTCCGACCTGCCTTGTCACAACCTTGTCCTGCCTGTCAACCTTTTTCATCTATCTTGTCCTTGTGAAGAATGCTTAGGTGTTGACCCTTACTGCTCTTACATTGTGCAGCTTCCTTCTGGGGGGGCAAGACTTACTGACTTGTGTCCATGCCTCAAGCACCTGAAGCAAAGACCCTTTGTTCCTCAGTATGTTGATCTTGGCGATATGTTTGTAGAGATCTCCACTGTTCACACCTTTCAACACCATGTTGGTTTGACTGGCAGGTTTACACGGTGCAAGATAAGCTTATTACTCTTGTCAGAGACTAACTTTTCACTCTGACTGTACTGCTTGGTGGGAAGATCAGTAGCAAATGAGATTTGCTTGTCTTTATATACTAGATTCTTATTGCTGTGGCAATTTGTGTTCAATCCTTAGTGCCAACTTGCCATAGATTGGGTCGTTTGCTTTTCTGGCTTCCAGCTTGACAAAGTCTACATGGTGATGAAATCTTATCAGCTGTTTTCACTTCTTCGTCTCTCCACATAGCCTCTCCACTTGTCATGATAGTAGTAAAGGCAGCTTCATGACTAGCCTTTGATATTATCGGGTATTCTAACACCTTCATTAGCTTCAATGCTTTCTACTGCGTTCATGCATTCTGTGAGGAAAATTGAAAATTCGTCAAAGCTTTTACGCTGTCATTCTTGATGGGGTTCCAGGCTAGAGCCTTCTTGATGAGCAGCTGATGCAATTGTTTCTGTATAAGCCATGGCGACTTTCTAGTTCTCTCATCATAGCTTTATAGCCTCTTAGTGAGTCCAAGTAGCTAAAGCTAGATACAATTTTACATGAGCTTCCCCAGTTGTAAACTGTTCTAAGAAGTTCATAGTTTCATCTGTATCTTCTGCATAAGCAATTACCTTTCTTGAATTGATGAATAAATTTGTTGTACTACTCAACGGATTACAGCTGAACTTGATGATTTCTGGAACTGGTTTCACGGAGCTGATTAGTGACAGCTTGAGATTGCTTCCTCAGGATTCACAGAGTGCTGTTTTGGGGTTGGTCTACTAGGTGTTTGTGTGTCTCGCTGTGACAAATTGCTGTGGTTGACGCATTTCATGTGGATGTGGATTAGTTTCATAGTTAAACTCTTCCCACTCTGACTTTATCCTCCTGTTTAGGTTGAGAGTGTCTCTCATGTAACCTCCTTGAAAACATGGCTGTTCCTCTCTTCATAGAATCTATCTCTTCTATTGTCTCTATAGTGCTTATAATTAACCTCCCTGTGACTTGGGGTCTGTTCAGTGAAGCACTGTTTTCTAAACATGCCTTGTGTTAATCGCAGTCTCTCATCAACTGTTTGTTTACTGTCCTCTTCATGTATGTATGGTCTGGTATCTACTTCTTTCTTCATGGTTTCACTAATGACACTACTGTCTGCAGACTTGTGTATCTCTTGTTTTAGTGGTGAATGGCTACCGGTTCTATCTTCTGTATTGATACCTTTGTCATGACTTGGTCTCATTATTTGGGACCTACAAGAATACTTGCTACACTTGAATTTTCTAAATTTTCTAAATCCTTTGTTCACAGCATGTATGCTTGCCATTTCTCTTTTTTTAGGTACATCCTCTCTTCTTCCATTTTAAGTTTCATCTTGGAGATTTCTAAATCCTGCAATTTCTTCAAAGCCTCTATTTTAACCAAGACTTCAGCTTTTTTGCTCCTCTCTAATGCGAGCAGCTGTCACTGTAAGTAACCTGTGATCAACTAGTTTTATCTGACTTTGTCTGGGACACACTATCATAAGGGGTCCAATTCTTCTTGTATTGTTGACCAGTTTTCTAGCTCAGTTCTCAATAAAACTGTCAACCGAGGCTTTAAGAGCATCAACTCATTTCTTTTGCTATCAGTTTTATCATTATACTCTTGTCTTTCTTGTTCATTTGCTAGCCTGAAATATTCCTTTTCATCACAAAACAATTCCTCAAATACAAGAAGAAAGTTACTGTATTCAGTTCTGACGACTTCATAATCTGCACCCTCTGATATAAAGTTCATTCACACACTTCAAATTGTTCATAACTTTCCTCAAAGTCAGTTTCAAGTTATCATATTTCACCTCCTTTTGATATTCTAAACCTGTGTCAGTAAAATTTTTTTGCTGGCGTTTTGATCTAACACTTTCAAGGTAGCTCATGTTGAGTTATGGCTTGTTTTCCGCATTCAAAATTTATCCTCTTCTAGTATTCAATTCAAGAAAGTCATAATCATATTAATGTCAATGAAATGTAGTTTCAAATCCTTTGCTCCTCTCTAATGAGTCTATACTCAATTCAAATTCAATTCAACTTCAAAGTCAAATGTCATGCACTTCTTCAACAAAAATGCCAATACCTTCAATACAGTTGACTTGACTTTTTATTTTTCATCAGTCCTTGAATGATTGACATTAATATATATGATGATGCAGGTCCTCAAATCCTTAAACATATAGAGCCAACACTCCAAATCCAAGTCCACAACTAACACCATTACATGGAGTCCCTCTGACCATGTGCTCCACATCTCTAGTCCTGTCTCAACTCCTAGAATTACTTCCCTTGGCCCTGGCTGGAAGCTAACTGTCCCAAAATGTAGACCAATTTAGTTTCGCACAAAAATTAAAGTTTTGACATAAAAATAATTCCAACTCATAATTTTGGCCATAACAGATGTAATGGCGTGAAGCATTTCACTGATTTCTTTGGCAACATTGTTACGGGCACATTTGTACAATTGTCTATGGATCTCCAAGCCAGAGATCGCCGTATGCGCTCAGCAAAGTGTCTCTTCCTTTTTGCCTCCACGGACTTGATCGCTGTACCCGCGGTGATGCTTCATGATTATAGCGGATCAGATAACTTCGTTAGCGTCATCAGATGTGTTAGAAAACAGACCTGAATTGCTCAGATCATGAGAGGATATATGCCAATGTCAATTTTCTTCAGGTTGCGAGCTGTGATGAACTCAGTATTTGGAGTGGGTCTTTGGAAATTCAGAAGGAAGGAGATCATGAAATGATCGGATATCTGCGAATCATTGACTTCTAGGTCTGTTACCAGATCATCAGATCCTGAGAGAGACCCAGTCAAGCACATGACCCAAGCAATATGTGGAACAGTTGACATGTTGTTTGAGGCTGTGGGATTCAAGTGCGTTGAGCACTTGCTTAGTTAAGGAATAATGTTTGACATCATTATGGACATTAAAGTCACCCATGATTACACAGGATCCAAGTTTGGGACTTAGTAAGTCACAAGAGTGAATACAAGTCATCGCAGAAGTTTGAGTTAGTGGCGTTATTCACTTTTGATGGTGGGAGCCTATAGAGACACACAATTTTAAAAGATTTTTACCACAAGTGACAGTGACAAGCAAATATTAAAATGAAACAAAGTCAGTATGTAGGTTTGACTTTTCAATAATCAAATCCTTCCTGTAGATCAGTGCATCACCACCTCCTCTCCTGTTTGGTCTAGGTACATTAAACAGTTTGTAGCCTGGTGGGGTAATTTCATGGCATTTGACTCATCACCGGCGACAGCTAGCCAAGTTTCAGTGAGAAAAGAGCAAATCGATGTCATGATCCAACATATAATCGTATATTTCAACTGGTGTTTTTGCAAGATTGGGAATAAAATAGATGAACTTTAATCAAATCAGAAGGTTTTGAATTACCACTTGACTGAATTCCAGGGACATGGATTGAAAGCGGTTCATTGACTTATCCAAATTACTGAACACAGCACTTGTTGATTGATTGTTCTTTGTTTGCGTCGTCCACCTCGGCTACCCCTCGTAGAGGCTGATACCCAGGTGCTTGATTAGTTGATATACATCAGGGTCAATCTTTCTGTCAGCGACCTGAATAACACAGAAAAAAGAACCCTTGAAATCAGATGTTCCAGAAGACCATGACAAAGAGTTGCTGCAAGTTTGGGTGTAGCTGTAAAAAGATTTGGTTCCCCATAGTAAAAGTTCGGTGGAACTTTTCATTCAACATTTGTTCCTGTAATAGTGCATGCCGAACAATTATTTCGTTCACACACACAGAATTTATTCGGGTAAAGAGGAACTTCCACACACATCATAAAGTGTCTAAAAGAGGGTTTTGTTTGTTGGGGTGGTCTTAAAAATTGAAGGGGGAGCGGAAGGGAAAAAGATTTTTCCCTCACGGTATTTGTTCCATATGGAACAAATCATGTGGCTATCAAGAAGCAATTATCATGTGTGAAAGTTACTTAATTTTTTTTATGAAAATACATTGTAGATTCCCAGAATGCGAGACTGATGATTATAAATGAATCTTGTGTTAAAAGAGTTCAGTTATTATGTAACCAAGTTACCTTCATTAATCAGGTTACAGTCAGTAGCCAGGTTACAGTCAACATGTAACCAAGTTACAGTCAGTCAGTAGCCAGGTTACAGTCATTATGTGACCAAGTTACAGTTGGTCAGTAGCCAGGAGTTACAGTCAACATGTTACCAAGTTACAGTTAGTCAGTAGCCAGGTTACAGTCAACATGTTACCAAGTTAGTCAGTAGCCGGGTTACAGTCAAAATGTAACCAATTAACAGTCAGTCAGTAGCCGGATTACAGTCAACATGTAACAAGTTACAGTTAGTCGGTAGCCAGGTTACAGTCACTATGTAACCAAGTTACAGTCGGTCAGTAGCCAGGTTAGTGAACATGTAACCAAGTTACAGTTAGTCAGTAGCCAGATTACAGTCGACATGTAACCAAGTTACAGTCAGTAGCCAGGTTACAGTCGACATGTAACAAAGTTACAGTCAGTAGCCTGGTTACAGTCGACATGTAACCAAGTTACAGTCAGTAGCCAGGTAACGGTCGACATGTAACAAAGCTACAGTCAGTAGCCAGGTTACAGTCGACATGTAACCAAGTGACAGTCAGTAGCCAGGTTACAGTCGATATGTAACCAAGTTACAGTCAGTAGTCAGGTTACAGTCAACATGTAACCTGGTTACAGTCAGCATGTAACCAAGTTACAGTTAGTAGCCATGTTACAGTCAACATGTAACCAGGTGACAGTCAACATGTAACCAAGTTACAGTCAGTAGCCTGGTTACAGTCAGCATCTAACCAAGTTAGTTAGTAGCCAGGTTACAGTCAACATGTAACCAAGTTACAGTCAGTAGCCAGGTTACAGTCGACATGTGTACCAAGTTACAGTCAGTAGCCAGGGTTACAGTCAACATGTAACCAAGTTACAGTCAGTAGCCAGGTAACGATCGATGTAACAGAAGTTACAGTCAGTAGCCAGGTTACAGTCGACATGTAACCAAGTTACAGTCAGTAGCCAGGTTACAGTCGATATGTAACCAAGTTAGTCAGTAGTCAGGTTACAGTCAACATGTAACCAGGTTACAGTCAACATGTAACCTGGTTACAGTCAACATGTAACCAAGTTACAGTTAGTAGCCATGTTACAGTCAACATGTAACCAGGTGACAGTCAACATGTAACCAAGTTACAGTCAGTAGCCTGGTTACAGCCAGCATCTAACCAAGTTAGTTAGTAGCCAGGTTACAGTCAACATGTAACCAACTTACAGTCAGTAGCCTGGTTACAGTCAGCATGTAACCAAGTTACAGTTAGTAGCCAGGTTACAGTCAACATGTAACCAGGTGACAGTCAACATGTAACCAAGTTACAGTAAGTAGCCTGGTTACAGTCAGCATGTAACCAAGTTACAGTTAGTAGCCAGGTTACAGTCAACATGTTACCAAGTTGAAGTTAGTAGACATCCCGGATGTTGACAAATTGGAGGGTCCATTTTGCATTCAATAATGACTGGAATAGGTTAGGCCTACGGTATTTGTTCCTGTTCGATGGAATATTTGCCGTATGTGCGGAATTTTTATTCGTGTCATCCATTCTCAATTTCACGGCATTTATTCCGAACCGGAACATGTAACCTGGTTACAGTCAGCATGTAACCAAGTTACAGTTAGTAGCCATGTTACAGTCAACATGTAACCAGGTGACAGTCAACATGTAACCAAGTTACAGTCAGTAGCCTGGTTACAGTCAGCATCTAACCAAGTTAGTTAGTAGCCAGGTTACAGTCAACATGTAACCAAGTTACAGTCAGTAGCCAGGTTACAGTCGACATGTTACCAAGTTACAGTCAGTAGCCAGGTTACAGTCAACATGTAACCAGGTTACAGTCAACATGTAACCAAGTTACAGTAAGTAGCCTGGTTACAGTCAGCATGCAACCAAGTTACAGTTAGTAGCCAGGTTACAGTCAACATGTAACCAGGTGACAGTCAACATGTAACCAAGTTACAGTCAGTAGCCTGGTTACAGTCAGCATGTAACCAAGTTACAGTTAGTAGCCAGGTTACAGTCAACATGTTACCAAGTTGAAGTTAGTAGACATCCCGGATGTTGACAAATTGGAGGGTCCATTTTGCATTCAATAATGACTGGAATAGGTTAGGCCTACGGTATTTGTTCCTGTTCGATGGAATATTTGCCGTATGTTCGGAATTTTTATTCGTGTCATCCATTCTCAATTTCACGGCATTTATTCCAAACCGGAACATTTACTACTCGGAACTAAATCATGTTTACATAGCAACATGGTGTGTTAGTATCAGAGTTAACCCATGTCAAGTCTCTTTGGCAGTTAACAGACAAAGAGGTTAATTTTCGGAGAGGTTTTTCTTGTGATGGATGAAATTTTGGAAGACTGAAACTAATCAATTATATTTTCAACATGAATTTTATGAACTAAAGAACCAATATACCTCTTACAATGGAAGTTACACAGAAGGGGAGAGGACATCAGCTAAAGCTACTACTAACAATTGTTATGCATCCATACAACTAACTGATAAAATATAACATATGTCATATACACTTTCTCAGTAAAGTACAAATTCTAGTACTTTTGGGTTAAGTCCCATCTGGGATTCGAACCCACACCCTTAGATTCAGGCACCTAATTGCCAGCACACAAAGTCAGCAGCCTAACCCGCTCAGCCACCGAAACTTCCACAAGTACTAGAATCCATACTTTACCAAGAAACCGTAATCTCAAACATAACATATGTTACATTTGACCACTTTCTAAAATGGCATTGAGTAATCATAACTGATAGAAGTTTTTATGCCAGAAGCTCAGGCATAATGTTAACACTGCAATGGAATGAAAATATTTCCCACTTTCTGCAAATCTATCTTGTTCTGCTGTAATCAAACTTGAAAACTGGAACAGCTGTTCTTAGCTGTAAGTTTAAGGTGTGGTCTCAATTTGTCCCTAGTTGAAAAAGATGTCATGTTTTCTTGTTGAGGTTTCTTCAATTCTTTGAATTTCAGGTGTGAACATATCTTCTTAGGGGGGACAGTAATTTTACAGTACTTCACCCTAATCAAGGCCATGACCTCTGACTATCCCTATTGGTAGTCATATCCTACCAATACATGAAATAATACACTTTGTACATTGAAAAATTTGACTTAATTCTTTTGTTTTCAGAAAGCACTTTATAAAATGAGAATAAACTTACTGAGAAGGTCCTTGACTGTTTTAATAAGGGTGAAAAATCAATAGTCAAGTAGGTCATGTTGAGTGCTTCGTTAGTAGCTGCATCAGCCATTAGGTTTTTAATTGCCTGAAGAAAGGCGCGTGAGTCTAAAAAAATCATGAATTCCTTAGATTTAAACTGTTTGATTCATTTTACAGCAGTAGTATTATAATTATGGTTCTATTACAGGGTACCCTATGGGCTTATTTTGGCTTAATTCCTTTCCCAGTGTCCAGTCAAAAATAGTCATTTTCAAGCGGGAGACATCATTCGATGTACCGACTTGCTCGCTAGCCTAGACCCGTTAAACTCGCACTGTGGCTGTCAGCCGTCCTGACAGTGTGGTGGTAGAGCGTTGAACTGACGAGGGAATCCCTAGGCTAAATATAGAACTGGTCTCTCCCGTCTGTGTAAGTTATAAAAATCTGTATAGCACGACGTATTTCTTGACTCCTTTGTTTTTCTAGGCCTCAAAGTGCGAATGGAGTTTCTTTATAAGGGGTCTTAGAAACTCCCCAGCGAGTCGAGGTCTAGACATAATATAAGTGTGGATACCATCGTTAGAAATCCATCGTTTGGTATCCATGGGCGACAGTGACGTCTTGTCGATTCTCAGTCCATATATCCTGTGTCCGTTGCTTCTCAACATGTTCATTTGGTGTTTGAACGTTTTATTCTTGAAGAGAGCCTGTTTGAAGAGGGTGTGCTTGATGTGTTGTTTCACCACGTACTTTTTCACACCCTTAGCCTTTTGGATTTCGTTGTTATCGGCTTTCTTGATGGAATACATTTA